ATTCTCTGGTCTGGCATGTCTTGTTTGTATACATTCGAAAACACCTGCGCTGGGGACCTTGCGTGAGGGATTATTTTCAGCAATCTCTCAGTCCTGAGAATAGAGGCTCAGAGAAACAACCCTTAATTATACCTGACAGGCTCAAGGGAAGATAGCTAGCTTGTTCTGAGAAAGAGCGCCTGAAAGAGACTGTTTTTGTTCTTTCAGGGTATGTAATTATGGTGATTGCTGTCATTGTATCATACATTTTGATACTGTATAATTATTCATGGCTGAGCCATAGTAATAGCTTAGCTTTTTTGTTTTCTTTTGCCCCCTTTCAGGATGATATTTAAATACCAGTCTGGTATTACTTCTCTGGTCTAACTCCCCAGTAGTTTCCCATCACACTTAAAATCCTAAGTTCTTACAATGGAAGGCGCTGTGTAGTGTGTTATCCCACTACATCTCTGCTTTTCTCTCTCACCACTCTTCTCTCCAGTAGCCTAAGCCACACAGGCCTTCTTCCTGTTCCAGTTTCCTGTTTCATTGCCTTCTCACTTGCTATTCTATCCACCTAGAAAGCTCTTTGAACATGTGAGTGGCTCACTCCACCCTGGTTTCTTAAACAATAATGAAGTAACATAATATGTAACATTTTTAGCCTCCTTTGTCACTTATATTTGTCCCCAATAAATATTTATTTAAAATGCTTTTTGATTGCTGTTTGATATTAATGAAATGTTAAAATGAAAAACAGTAAAAACAAGATCCTTAAGCAAGATTAGACTCTTCCACATGGTGTCTGATATATGTATATACAGGGTATCAGGTATTGGTGTATAGATTTCAGTTTCTAGAAGATTAAGCAGATGCTATTGACATTACAGGAAACCAGCTAAATGAAATTCCTAGGCCTAATCCCAAGACTACACTTTAGAGCAATTTTCAGTGGGGGAGATAACCTTTTAAAAACTTATCTCCAATGTGCTGTAGACCTTTTGTAAAATGAAATAAAAATGAATTACTAGAGAAAGAAAAAAGTGAAGATACATAAACTCTAAGCCCACCGGTTATACGTTCGTGCACCACAGCAATGTCAAATTGCTGTAAAAGTTTCTAACTACTCTCAATTTCTTTCTTTATTTTATCAGGAAATATGCAGTTCAGAGGTTGGCATAGGTCTGTGGAACACACTCAAAGCAACACAATTTTAGCAATCCATCTGCAAGAGCTCCAGCCCAACCCTGTATGCCCGATCCCTCCCCACTGAACGTTGCAGGTGGAACCTGCAATGAGTTGTTCTCTTGCTGGTAACAAAACAGTTTTTAGAAATTATTATTCTAATAGTACATGTTCATTATAGAAGTAATAAAAAATAAACATTTTAAATTCCTCCTTAATTCTATCACCATTGTTAACATTGATATTCATACTCATACATACATAGTTACACACACACACACACATATTTAAATAGGGGAGGGAGAACACAAATGGCTTATTACAAATAGCTGTTTAACCAACTGCTCTTTAAAAGTTGCACGGTATGATGTGACACATTTTATATATCAATGTATACGTTTATAGCATCACTTTTAATATTCTCACAGGATTCTATTGAATGACTGCATCATTTATTTAACCAATCTCCTATTCAGTCAGCCAGCAAATATTTACTGGTCACTTACTCTTTGCTAGAAATGGGACGTGTAGCAATAAGCAAGAAATGAGTCTGCCTTTAGCAAACTTACATCCTAGGGGTATGAAATAGATAATAAACATGTTCAACAAATATGCATAAAAAGGATACTGATTTGTCAGCATCCAACAACCTTTAGCCTTCATTTCACGAGAGGCAGGAAGCCGTTGTCTGCAGGAAGCCTGTGTGAAGTTTGTTAAGTCAAGGTGCCCAATGAAACTGATTCAGACATATTGACACAATTAAAATGGATTTTTAAAACCTAGTTTTAAATTTTTACCTACAGAATTGAAGATGTGTTTGGGAAAATTATGTAATCTGTATGCATTAGCATTAATGCCATCTTGTGCTCTCTCACACATGTACACTGCTTTATACCTTTCATCACTAAGCATGATAACAAGAATAAAACTTGCAACTTAATTGTTGCAGAGAATATTAAGAGATCCACAATAGTCCTAATGTCCACTTATGTTTAATTACTCACTTCGTTAAATCTAGAAGTTAAACACTCTCATAGGCTGATTTTAAGTGTAAATCAACATTTTTGAGGACAGTGTGGCTGTGTCAAAATTTGAATGTGCATACTCTGTTTTGATGTAATTACATATATCTTAACTACATGCACATTGTAAAAACAAAATTACACAATATAATAAAGTATAGTGGGGAAAAAAACTGCTTTTCTTCCTTAACCCAATTCCCTTAGTCACCCTGATCTCTCCCCAGAGACGATCACTCTTAGCAGTGTCTGGTATCCCCTTCAAGAGAGAGTCAATGCAAAATATATGTCATAGTGATTCCACTTCTAAAAATCCATCTAACAAAAATAGTTGCACACATATGCAAATAGATATATAAGGATGTTAATTTTGTAAGTGTAACAGCAAAATATAGAACCGATCTGAATGTCCAATAATAAAGTATTAATAAAGTATGACATAGCCATACTTAGGAATACTGTGCACCTATAAAAAGAATGTATGTATTAACTTGGAAATGTCTTCAACACATATTATTAGGTAAAAAAAAGCAGAAAATATAATTTTATCACAACGCAAACAATCCCGTATGATGGGTGTATATATATATCTATATAATACGCAGGGCCCAGCAGAAGTAACACCTACTTGAGTGTGGTTGGTAGAGTAATAATGTGGGTGTGATAATTTATAGTTTTAATTTGAACACTTCACCTGAAATGCCATATGGTGTGCTTCAGTGTGATATTGTTACATTACAGAATTGCATGCTTATGATTTTGTAATAAAAGATTTTGTAATAAAAAGGGGCATTATTTTTGCCAGGCCCTGTATATGACCATGCGCACGTATATACCCTTGAAGAAAGAGCTGGGCTAGAAGAAATGGAGGACTGTTGTACTCTACTGCTCTATATTGTTTGAAATGTTTACTGCAAGAATGTATTTATGTATTATTTATATAACAACTTTTAAAGTAAATAAATCTAAGCACTAATATGAATAATTTTGTATTTTAAACAGTAATGAGATGTTAAGGAGATGACATTTACATATTTTTCTGATACTTAAATATTACCCAGACTCTATGATTATTTGTGAATACCAAATACCTGTATCCTTTATGTTGACCAGTGACAAACAACAAAGAGTAATGAATATATGCCACAAAAGCCACATTACAAACCAATAGAGAAAAAAGAAATGACAATGTGGCTACAATTGATTAATCAAAAAATGAATAATAAATTTAGAACTTTATCACAAAAAGAGTAATGAATCAAAGTACCCACCATGTTTCAAAATTCAGTATAAGTATTTTTCTATTTTTTACTCAAATTTTAAAATTAAAATTTTGATAATTTTTAAAGTTATGATAAATCTCAGATGACAAAGCTATCTTCTGTATTTATCTCTCTTTTTTAGATTTTATTTATTTACTTTTAGAGAGAGGGGAAGAGAGGGAGAAAAAGAGGGAGAGAAAAATCAATGTGCCAGAGCGACATCACTCGGTTGCCTCTCACACGCCCCCTGCTGGGGCCCTGTCCCCCAACCCAGGCCTGTGCCCTGAATGAGAGTCCAACCTGCAGTCTTTTGGTTTGTAGGCTGGCGCTCAGTGTGCTCAGCCACACCAGTCAGAGCTGTATTTATCTCTTTTAATGAGAGAAACAGTGAGTGTCCTTAAAAATTATTAAAACTGATTGTCACAGTATTCACCAAAAAACTTTTTTTTCTGAAGTGTTCTGAAATACCCAGATAAACTACACTTTGTTCCTTCTCCACCTGCTGGCTATAAAGAGTATAAAGAGTATATCTTAAAATACTATCCCTTGATCAAAACTGACAAATCTTTTAAGCCCCTTATATCACTTCATAATATTATTTGCACTAACAGTTACTTGTAAATTATGAGAATGATTGTGTTTAAAATGTTCATTATATCAAATTTTTATCCCAAATAATGCACATGCATAGTTACTATTTTTGAAAATAGTTTGTGTAATAGTTGGTATGATTTATTGAATGGTTATGAATGGTCCAGAAAATATACTTAATGCTTTACCTGTGTTATCTGATTTATTCTTCACAATTCTGTGAGGTAGGTACTATGAGTCCCCATATTTTACAGATGAGGAAACTGAAGTTGGAAAAAGTTAAATAACGTACAAGATCGCACAACTAAGTTAAGGTAGAATATGTTAAGATTTAAACTCCAATCTTACTTCAGACCCAAAGATACAATCTATATCCCTGTGACTCCTGTACTATTAAAGGTATTTGAAGAAAAAAAAAGTCAGACTTTTTTCATAGAGCACTTTCTTCCTACTATTAAAAATGTCAGTTTTAAAACTCAGCAACATACATTTGGAAGAAAATATCTAGCTATAAACTTCCAAATAATTTTTAACATCAAAAGAGAAAAAAATTAAAGATAATATATATAGGTTTTACTTTCATTTTTCGTAATAAATGGCATATCTTTTTGACAGTTTGGTGCCTGCCTTTCTAAATATAATGCATATATTAGAAGAGGTGTGTTATGTGTTTAAATACTTCAAAGCTTTGGGATTTGTAAATCCTTTTACATTTAGCACTTTACAAGTAACAGTTCAGAATTTAAAAATTTTAAGCAACATTTACTCACTTAGTTTGGACTATGATAATGCATCTTAAAACCATATTGCTACTGTAAATTTAACGTGACATTATTTATACATTATTTCCTTCATTCATACAACTTTCTATTTAATTTTCATTGAGTTCTAATGATAGTTTCATAATGGAATATATAAAATGTTTAAATATACCCATTTTGCTTATTTTCTTTCAGGACTTTAAATGTCTTGGACACAAGAACTGGACTTTACAAAGAGGGATAGAGCTGCTAGAGTCATTCAGAAGGCCTGGAAAAGGTTCCTTGTGAGGATTTTTCTTTTTGCAGCTTTACTGAAACATAATTTAGATATCACAAGTTTCGCCTGTTTAAAGTATACATTGCGGTAATTTTTAGTATATTTACAGAATTATATACAACCCTTTGCTTTAAAAGCACACATTTTTAAAACTTTCAAAAAGTTAACATTAATTAAAGATCTCTTTAGCCTCACAAATATTTTATGGTGTCCCTGATCTGGGCCAGGCACTTTGATAATTGCTACTATCAGTGAAAGTATCACTATTTGGATCATTTGGATTTCACCCCTAAACACTTTATTTCTTGACTCTGGAATCAGGTTTGTGAGCAGGTGTTAGGGATACATTCACTCATTAAATATTAATTGAGTACCTACTCTTGAGGACTTAAGTTCAATAGTATACCACATCTGGGTTAATGTAGTAGTTTTTTATCATGCTCTATATGGGGAGAGCTTGTCTTTTTATCCAATAAGGAATATTTTTAAGTAGATTTACCTGGTTAGGTGAGAGCAAAGAGCAAGATGACTTCACTCTTTTCCCTCTGATAGCAGCAGCTCTCTGTCTGCTGACAGTTCCATGTGAAGCGAGAGGGCTCTGTTTCTCGCACACAAGAAGGCCTTTGTATCAGTTAATCAAGTCCCGCAAAGTAGCTTCCATTATTTGCCTCTACTACCTCTAACAAAGCCACAAAACCTATTCTGGGAGGTAACTTGATTTTCAACATGGAAATCACTTTTTTCCCTAAAGTCTACTATTCCTTTCATCGTTTCATTGAGCATACTTGTCATCTAGGCTTAAGCTTTCTGTCATTTGTAACTTCTCTTACATCCAAATCCAATGAGCTACATGCCTTTATTTTCCTGGCACTGTGCTAGCATTATGTTCCTGGCAGTGCGCTAACATTTTACAATACTTCTTTGCCGTTAAGGAGCCTCAGTAGAGAAAATATGTATATAAACAAACAAGTTGTGTGTGTGTGTATTTTAACAAGATGGTAGACTGAGCACACATTTTTACTTTCTGTTCCTCCAAAACCCCACTGAAATAACAATATACAGAAACTTAACCCATAAAAGAAGGGCATTTGTGAGCAAATAAGAAATTTTATTTCATTTATGGAAAACCAAAGCAGATTATAACATCCTGTTAAACAAAATTGTGTAGAAGACTTGCCCAGATACACTTCAGAGGGGCTCCAGTGAGAGAGCTGGTTTGCACTGGAACCTTAGAATGAGTACCAGTTGGAAGTTAGCAATTTAAAAGGCCTGGAAGAAAGTGAGTGAAGACAAGGGGTCTGATTGAAGGTCTATGCATGGAACAGCTGTACCATTTGTCTCCACTGTCACTTTAAGACCCCAAGCTGCAAATGGATGGATATTTAACATTAGTCAAAAATCTGATGGTAGATGGATATTTACCAGTGGGAGAAAAAAACCTCGAAGGCTTATTTCTAAAAAAAATTAAATTAACTATCTAGGAAAGCTAATTCTAGCATGGACTTGACATAAAAACCCTCTTAATTTTAGTATTTGAAAGTCACTCTGATTACTTGCTGGCTATCTGACCTATAAGGAAGTAAGAAAGCCTGTTGATTAACTTATTCCATCCACATCACAAAGCTCCCAGGCAACTCTCACACTCATGAGTATGAACAGTGGGAAGACTATACAAAAGCACAGGATACACTTGCTCCCTAGAAGAACTGACACAGACTTTCATTCTTAATTAGTCTTGTACCACATAAGTCACTGTCGGCCTGTGTATGTGACAGTGACATACCATATAGCCTGGGTGTACAGTGTGCTGTGCATCGAGGTTTGTACAAGTACACATTACGATGTTTGCACAATGATGAAATTGCGTAATGATGCATTTTTCAAAATGTATTTCTGTTGTTAAGTCGCACATGACTGTATTAATGGACAAAAAAGGATCACCTGACATTTAAGAAAAAATAATGATATAAAAACAAAAAGAAACAGAAAGAAAAATAACAAAGCTGAAGGATTACCATAAAAATGGGAATTAATTCAGATCAGATCAGTATGGTGAATGGCTCTAAGAGGGTTCTATCTGGAGATAAAATGACACCTCATGGCAATAGAAGGTATGTCTGAGAAGTTGGACTTAAAAAATGGTTAGGATCTCTGAAAAAGGGTTAACCATGAAAATCATGGTTCAGGTATAATGCAAATTAAAATAGTTCTAATATATAAAAAGAATACATTTGATCTTCAAATTGGAGTATTGGTGTTGATTTGACTTCAGCAAGCTAGAGTGAGAGAGTTTACCAGAAGTTATTAAGGATTTTTTTTTTTTAATGAAAAAGTGTATGAGGAGGGGGTTACTAAAGAAATACTTTTCCAAGATTGAAGAATTTTTAGGAGTTATTTGAATTTGCACTAACATGAAAAGTAGATAGGGTTTGTAAATCACTGGAATTACTTACAGGAATGAAGAAGATTCTGTGTTGATAATAATAGATAATATTTATTGAGTGTTTTCTTATACCAGAAGTTGTTCTAAGTGCTTCACAAATTTTAACACATTCACTTTTCACCATACCTGTATGAGATAGCTACTAACATTCCCAATACTTTACATAAGAAGCTGAACAGAGCAATTAAGTAACTTGTCTAGGGCCATACAGCTAGTAGGAGGTAAGAGTTGAACCAGACAATATTATGCCATAGTTGATGTTCCTAATCACTGGGCTATATTTTGTTTTTCTCCTAGATTACTCTGGAGTATACAGAAGTGACCCAACCAAAGTTCTGGGTATTCTATTTATAGCTGCTAGTGATACAGTTACAAACTTGAGTGTAAAAGTCTTTGTGAGAATAATACCAACATTGCTTGGCTTGTCAAAGGAAACCCTGAATAGATACTATTCTAAAATCTAGTTTACATATATAAAATCTATTTTATGGTTTTTACTCATTTTGCCCAGTTTTGACCATAAAATTTTATGTGTTTGAACCTTCAGAATGTTACTGTATTCCAACACTTTAAAAGTCTGATTAATATAAGAAGACAAGGGGAACCACGCCAGATAGTAAGATATATTAATCCTAAAGAGGTAAGAATATTATTTATTTATTTTAAAATTTCCTTTTAGATTTTATTTATTTATTTTTAAAGAGAAGAGAAGGGAGGGAGAAAGAGAGGGAGAGAAACATCTGTGAGAGAAACACTGATTGGTTGCCTCTCACATGCCCCCAACTCGGGGACCTGGCCCTCAACCCAGGCCTGTGCCCTGACTGGGAATGGAACCAGCGACCTTCCCCTTTGTGGGATGACACCCAACCAACTGAGCCATGCCAGCCAGGGCAAGAACATTATTTATTGATACACCATCTTTTCTTCTTTCATAAAATTGTATAGCTACTTTATAAATTCAATATGATTGTATTTGTTCCTTTTAAAAACTTTTCATTGGTATATTAAGCACATAAAAAATCTGTTATTCATATGTGTATAACTCAATGAGTCATTACAAGCAGACACTTGTGTAACTAATACCCAGATTCTTAGTCTAGCCAGAAGTTTACTGATTTCATCAATCTTTTCAAAGAACAAGCTTTTAGTTTCTTTGATTTTCTCTATTGATATTCTGTTTTCAATTTCACTGATTTCTGTTCTATTTTCATCTCATTCCTTCTCCTTACTTCTGACTTAATTTGTTTTCTTTTTCTAGTTTTTCTAGTTTCTTAAGCTAGACCTTAGATTACTGGTTTCAAATCTTTATAGTTTTCTAATGTATGCATTCAATGCTATATATTGTCACCTAAGCACTATTTTAGCTGCATCTCACAAAACTGATAAACTCTAGTTTCTTTTCATTTATTTAAAAATAGTTAAAAAATTAAAATCCTCAGACTTCTTATTCGACCCATTTGTTATTTAGAAGTGTGTTGTTTAATTTCCAAGTTTTGGGGCTTTCCATCTGTCTTTCTGGTATTGATTTCTCGTTTAATTCCATTGGGACCTGAGAGCATATTTTGTATGATTTCTGTTCTTTTGTATTTGTTAAGCTGTGTCTTATGGCCCAGACAGTGTTCTATCTTGGTAAATGTTTCATGTGGGCTGAGAAGAATGCATATTTTGCTATTGTTGGATGAAGTGATTAATAAATGTCAATTAGATCCAGTTATTGATGGTGATGTTTATGTCTAATTATGGCCTTATTGATTTTCTGTCAGCAGAATCTGTCAATTAGTGGTAGTGATTCCTCTAGTTATCCTTGCAGTTCTATTAGCTTTTACCTTACATACTTTGATACCCTATTGTTAGGTATATACACGTTAGGGATTTTCGCTATGCATTCTTAGAAAATTGACCACTTTATCATTAAGTAATGTTCCTCTTTTTTTTCCTGATAGTTTTCCTTCCTCTGAATGCTGAAATTAATATAGCTGCCCAGCTTTCATTTAATTAGTGTTAAAGTGCTATATCTTTCTCCATCCCTTTGCTTTTAACCATTCTGTCTTTATATTTAAAATGGGTTTTTGTAAACAACATATAGTTGGGTCTTATTTTTTATCTACTCTGACAGTCTCTGTCTTTTCATTGGTACATTTAGACCACTGATATTTAAAGTGATTATTGATATAGTTTGATCTGCCTTAGCTGGTACCATTTCCTAACAGCATTGACTAAGGGTATTTGTTGTCTTTGTTCTTTCTTCTCTCTCTCTCCCTCTCTCTCCCCTGAGTTTGTCTTGCACTCTTTTTTGTGCCTTCTCTGGTTTTAATTGAGCATTTTATATTATTACATTTTCTCTTGTCTTAGTACATAAATTATACTTCTTTTTAACTTTTTTTTTTTTTTTTTTTTGGTTACCGTAGAGTTTGCAGTGAACCAATATACAACTAATCTAAGTCCACTTTCCGTTAGATTTTATTTATTTATTTATTTTAGAGAAGGGGAAGGGAGGGAGAAAGAAGGAGAGAAACACTGATGTGCAGGAGAAACATTAATCGGTTGCCTCTCACAGGCCCCAACTGGGGACCTAGCCCTCAGCCCATGTACCCTGACCAGGAATCAAACTGGTGATTTTTTGGTTTGTGGGACAATGCCCAATCCACTGAGCCACACCAGCCAAGGCTTTAAGTCCACTTTAAATAACACTAAATGAAATCTCTCATAAACTTAAGAGACAAAGTCATACTAGAAAGGACTGGAACTACCTCAAATACATAGCCACCCCCGCCTTTATTTGAGTCTGTAGATGGTAGAAAAATAAAGAATTAATCTCAAATCTTCCAAAGAATATAACTGAGCTTCCCATAGTCTGTCATGGTTGAGGAGATCACATCTGAGAAACAGGGGGAAATTAGAAGTGGACAAACCAGATATAGATTACTAAAACTGCAATTCAGAGTTAACCAAGCTCTGTCTCTGATTGGATTGGTGTGATTAGCCGCTCACCCTAACTGACTATAACAGGAAGGGTAAAACTTCATGGAGCTGTACATTTAAGATTTGTTTGCTTTAGTGGAAAAAGGGTGTGTGTGTACACACACATATACACACACATATAAATTTATACATATACTCATATATATGGGTGTGTGGTCTGTCCAGAAAATATCCAACCATGTACTGTGAAAAAAACAGAGACATTTATTGAGCAAAATACAAGATACAAGAAACACTGTCCATAGGACAATGATGCCTCAGCCCCTTTCAAAGTAGGTACTTTGTGTCCGCACATAGTTCTCCCAACTGCAGCATGATGTTGCTTCTGCTCTGGTAGTAGAAACTGCAGAATGAATTTTGCCACGACATGTTTCATGCCAAGATCCTGCTTCAAAATCTTGGACACAGTGTTTTTGGAATCCCCACATCAGCTTCTAGTTCTCATACTGTCAGTTGCCAATCTTTGTAGATTGCAGCCTCTACACATTCAACATTCTCAGATGTTCTGCTTGTTCCAGGCCTTCCAGAACATCGTTCACTTTCAACAGATTCTCACCTATCTTTGAAGCATTTGTGCCATACTTCTATTTGCACTACACTCATTGTTTCATCCCCAAAAGCCTTCTGAATCATCTGAATAGTTTCCATGGAGGAATGTTTAAGTTTAACACAAAATCTGATGCAGATTTGTTGCTCTACTTGCTCAGTCAATTTCGAATGTGGCTGCCACACAGTACACATGCTCTCTCAACAGTTTCTACCACCCCCACTGACTAGTACAGACAAGTCGTCATTGTTCATGCATGTGCATTCCAGTCCACTCTCCTTGGCTGCCAGGCTACATCAATGTTGTGCAAATTATTCTTGTTATATTAACAATGGCTGGACTTTCTCTGGACAGACTCGTATATGAAAGTATATATTTTATGTGTTTTATAAATATATACTTTAAGATATTTTTATAAAACATCTTTTTCATATTTGAATTATGACCCTATATAACTATGTATGTGTGTATAATCTTAACTCAAGAGAAAATTAGGTACAACTAGTGTTGTTTTTAGGGCTTTATGGACTAACAAGGTAACATCTATTTTTCTCATCTAACTTAATTTTATCAGGTAACAACATTGAACTGTCTTCTAATAGAATACCAAATATTTTTTCTTTTTTTAAATATATATTTTATTGATTATGCTATTACAGTTGTCCCATTTTTTTCCTCCCCCTTATTCCCCTCTGCCCTGCACTTCCCCTCTCTCCAGCAACCCTTAGTTCATGTCCATGGGTCGTACATATAAGTTCTTTGGCTTCTCCATTTCCTATACTATTCTTAACCTCCCCCTGCCTATTTTGTACCTACTATTTACGCTGCTTATTCCCTATACCTTTTCCCCCATTCTTCCCCCTCCGCCTCCCCCTCCCGTCTGATCTCCATTTCTATGATTCTGTTCATGTTCTAGTTGTTCACTTAGTTTGTTTTTGTTTTTTAGGTTCAGTTTTTGATAGTTGTGAATTTGTTGTCATTTTACTGTTTATAGTTTTTGATCTTCTTTTTCTTAGATAAATCCCTTTAACATTTCATATAATAAGGACTTGGTGATGATGAACTTCTTTATCTTATCTGGGAAGCACTTCATCTGCCCTTCCATTCTAAATGATAGCTTCGCTGGATAGAGTAATCTTGGATTTTCTCTAAGGTCCTTGCCTTTCATGACTTTGAGTACTTCTTGCCAGCCCCTTCTTGCCTGCAAGGTTTCTTTGGAGAAATCAGCTGACAGTCTTCTGGAAACTCCTTTGTGGGTAACTCTTTTTTTCCCTTGCTGCTTTTAAGATTCTCTCCTTATCTTTAACCTTGGTAATGGAATTATGATGTGTCTTGGTGTGTGCTTCCTTGGATCCAACTTCTTTGGGACTCTCTGAGCTTCCTGGATCTCCTGCAAGTCTATTTCCTTGGCCAGATTGAGGAAGTTCTCTTTCATTATTTATTCAAGTAAGTTTTTAATTTCTTGCTCTTCATCTTCTCCTTCTGGCACCCCTACGATTCAGATGTTGGAAACTTTAAAGTTGTCCCAGAGGTTCCTAAGCCTCTCCTCATTTTTTTGATTTCTTGTTCCTTCATTCTGTTCTGGTTGAGTGTTTATCTCTTCCTTTTGCTCCCAATCGTTGATTTGAGTCCTGGTTTCCTTGTCTTTATTATTGGTTCCATGTGTATTTTTCTTTCTTTCACTTTGCGTAGCCTTCATTTTTTCCTCTATTTTGTGACCATACTCAGCCAATTCAGTGAGCATCCAGATTACCAGTGTTTTGAACTGTGCATCTGATAGGTTGGTTATCTGTTCATCGCTCTGTTCTATTTTTGGAGCTTTGATCTGTTCTTTCATTTAGGCCATATTTCTTGGTCTCAGCGGGCCTGTTATATTGGGAGGGACAGAGCCTTAGGTACTGGCCAGGGCGGGGCAACCCAGGCAGCTGTGTTGTGATGCTGTGTCGGGGAGGGGTACGAAAGGGCCTCTTGACTGGCTTTCAGTCACTTCCCCCTCTACCCACAAGCAAATTGGGTCCTACTAGTGCTGATTCCTGGGCTGGTGGGTTTGTGTACATTCTAGGATCCCGTAGGTTTCTCCTGTGGACTCTCCTGTGAGGTTGGGAGTTTCTCCTGCCATCACAACCCCCACAGATTTTTACCTCCAGAGGTTTTCAGGCTTTCTTTTCCCACACTGGAACCCTGGATTTTGTGGTCTGTCTCCCTCCCTGAGCTTTTCCTCACATTTTATCCACATGCAAATGGGGGACCACCCAGTCCTCCAGCTGCAGCCTTGCCATATGTCCTCTCCACCCTGCCTGCCCATCTCTGCCCTTCATACCAGTCTGGACGAATGTTTCTTCTTTAGCCCCTTGGTTGTTGGACTTCCCTACAGTACGATATTCTGGCTGTCCTGGTTATTTTTTGTTTTTAAATTGGTTGTCCAAGGAGGCAAAGTGTATCTACCTACCCCAAATATTTTTTTTGTTTTCCATTTCATCCCAGGCACTAAAATTTGGAAGGTCAATTATATATAATTCTTAAGAAATTTCAACATGGATTTTTTAAAACTTGATAAAAGCTAGTTAGGATAGGTAATTTGGTGTTGAACTCAGATTACCAATCATAATTTTTTCTTCTGAATTTACCTGTAAGATAATATTTAATATGCAAATCATATATCTGATGACTTATTTAAAACTTTTGTTCTATGAATAACAAATCACTTGACTTTTACACTTTTATATTTTATAGAGAGGAAACATAATTTCATATTATTTTGCCACTTACCATGTAAATAGTTTTACTTCTTAGATATCTATAAAAAATTAAATCTTAAAACGTTTTCTAATTAAAAAATAATTATTTGATGTTTAGCCACTTGACCTATTTCATAAATAATCAATACTCAGCAACGGTTTTAACATGACAGAGTGAGAATTAGTGAATTGTTATATACAGAATGTTGAAAGTTGTTTGTTTTTTTTTAATAGGCAGAGCTTCTAGATGCTGCTGCTGGCATTCATGTACGGTTCAGATTAGGTGGTGTAAGTAGGGGTGAATTCTTAGTTGTAATTTTAAAGCTTATTTATATGAAATTTAAAAGATGTGATTTTTTTAAATGTAAATCATTTTGTGATTGGGGTACAATGTTCCTTGAACTTTTCCATCTACAGGTTAATTTTCCGCCTGAAATATACTATAAAATTTTTACTGAGAGACATATTGAAGATCTGTGTGCTAACAGCCCTAGAGATTACACAAAACTTTCAGCAAAATATGCATCTCATATTAAAAGTGATAATCTTCAGGAAGAGGATCATAGTGGCTGGTATCGTCGTATAGAGAACAATGGCTGGAGACCTGTTTCTGATAGAGTAAGAAAAAAATATTTATTTTGAATTTTATATATTTATAAACCAATTTGTCTTTTTGAAAATTAATATTAAAATTATTTTTTAGATAATAAATCCTAGTAATTTAGTTGATAAAAATTGCCTAAGTTAACTACTCTGGGGTTACTAATAATACTTCAAAACACAGGAATAGCTCTGCCCTCGTCGCTTAGATGGTTGGAATGTCATCCCATAGATCAGGAGGTCCTGGGTTTGATTCCTGGCTGGGGCATATTCCTGGGTTGCAGATTTGGTCCCCACCCAGTGGGGGCAGGTATGAGAGACATTGTTTCTCTTTCACTTTGATGTTTTTCTCCCTCTCTTGCCCTCCCTTCCCCTTTCTCTAAAATCAATATGTATATCCTTGGGTGAGGATAAAGGGAAAAAAAAGATACAGGAATATATCTCCTTTTTACTTACATTTATTTCTACTCTTTAAAAATTTTTTTTAGTAATTAGTTTTGATTGAAGCCGTTTTAGATACTCCGTGGTGCTCAGCACTTTACCATATTTCTATAAAAGCAAATTTGAAGATGTTGACTCTATATTAATCCTTGGACTAGAGGTGGGAGTTCTTGAGAACAATATGACGTTTTCTTTTACAGAGCTTGTAACAGCAGAAGACTGGTGGAAAATCATTTGAATTTTTATGGCATTGGGGAATTTAACATGTACTCATATTAATTGTACTCATCAAATCTTTAACCTCTGATAAACAGTTTGTAGAATGTGGTCTGTTGAATATACTAAGAATGAAAAGTGAAAACGATCAAGGAATGCATTCATTCATTCAGCAAACTTTACTTCATACCAACCATGTGTCAGACATTGTACCAAATGCTAAGTATACAAGAGTAAATAAGAATAATCTCTCTCCTCAAGTAGTTTGCCTTGTAGTTAGAAAGGCATTTAGTAAACAGGATATTTCAGTATATTACAGTAAATATGTGCTTTAATAGTGAAAAATACAGAGTGTTGTGGAGAATAGCAAACTCTCCTCCTTGTGATTTAAGGTATGTGTGGTGGAGGAAGGGGAATGAATCAGAAGTAGGAAAATAGACAAGGTGTCATGCAGCAGAAACCACAAACTCTCAGGACATAAGGGAGACTTCTTTGTTCTTGGAAGTGCCTATACTCCTTGAGGGTTACAGTCTTCACAAGATACCAGAGCTAAGAGTAGGTCAGGTCTGTTCTCATGAGAAACTAAAGCACTCTTGAAATTTGTCCATTCATTCATTCATTCTTTTATTCAAACACTTATTAAGCACCTCAATACATTAGTGCTTTGTCAGTCTTTCTATGGCATGTGCCTCTGAAGGCTCAATGTGCTATTCACCCATCACTGAAATTAGAAATAACTTAAAAGGATGTATCTTCTCTTCTGCTTCTATTTTGGCTTATTCCTATTGAGCACGTGGAAGTTCTGTCTATAGTCATATAACCTCATAATCAGTATTTCAACATTTTATATATGCATTTTTTTATTTCTCAATAGTTTTGGATGTCCACTGAAGATGTAATGGTAGGAGACAAAAAGGAATGCAAATTTCATTTCTCTAAACTGAAGAGAAGACAAGATATGGAAAAGAAAAGAAAAATTAGAAAAATAGAATGGATGAGGCAAATGTAAGTTGATGAAAGACTGAATAAATATATAGTATACTAAGTTTTCTCAAAAATTTTCTACTACTACTAAAATAGCTATATGTTATTTTAAAAAGAAAATGTAAGGTTCCAGTTATATTTTAAAAAATACATAGAAAGCAAACATTTAATAAATGCCTACTGTGTGCCAGACACAGTTCAGCTTCAGGAAATAAATGTGAAAAGACATGCTGTCTTGGACCTTGAGGAAATCACATTCCATTGGAACATCAGATAAGGAAATGGGAATGTACTCATGTATCTGATAACTTTAAATTGGCCCTTTAGACCCAATCAACCCTTCTTTGCCCTAAGATACTGACTGTGTGGATTTTACTAAAAGTCATTCTGCATCTATCTAACAAATGTTAAAAGCAAGTGTCAAAAAATTAGATTGTTTCCAAGTTTACTTGACTTCATACTATAACAAAGACCCAAAATATTTAAAGGACTACAAAAAATTTCAGTACCTAAAATCATAAAATTTACAATAGCTACCATATAGTAATCAATTACCAGGCATGCAAAGAAGCAGGAAGAAAATGATTCTAAACAGAAATTGATGCCCTGCCTAGTGCGGCTCAGTGGATTGAGTACCAGTCTGCGAACCAAAGTGTTGCTGGTTCGATTCCCAATGAGAGCACAGCCTGGGTTGCAGGGCAGGTTCCCAGCAAGGGGTGCTCGAGAGGCAACCACACAATGATGTTTCTCTCCCTTTCTCCTTCCCTTCCCCTCTCTAAAAATGAATAAAATCTTAAAAAAAAAAAAGAAATTTGGATCCTTACAAAAATGAAGCATACTCAAAATGGTAACTAAGTAAATATAAAGCACTTTTAAAAAATAAAAGAAGGAAAAAAAAGAAGAAAAAGAAAAAAATAAAAAAACAAAAATAAGAAAAAAGAAGAAAAAAAGAAAAGAAAAAACAGAAAAAAGAAAACATATAAAGCACTTTTCTTCTTATAATTTAAATCTTTTAAAAAGGTAATTAATAACTCCTAAACTATATTCTTAAAAATAGTTAAGATGATACATTTTGTCAAATGTTTTTACCATAATTTTTAAAAATATAGATATTAAAATTTTTATGTAAAGGAGTAAGTTAATGTTGAATCAAGTTCTACTTAAATTCTTGTTCCACAATTATACTCCATTTCTCTTTTATTGAAAATCTTCATTTAAAAAAATATAATTGCCTGTTTTTCTGACATTACAAGTAAATATTTACAAAATTAACTATAATGTGAATATATGATACAATTACTAAAGTTCAAAAAATTTAAATGTAATTTGCTATTTAAAGCAGAAAAAATTATGATATATTATGGCATTTATTAATTTGTAACCAAGCAGAATTAAAGTGTAAGATAATAATATTACAAAGGTTGGGAGAAGTGAAATGGAAGTATACTGTTAAAAGTATTTTATGCTACATATGAAGTGGTATAATATTGGTTAAGGTAAACCATGATAATCAAATATGTATACTGCAAACCCTAAAGCAACCATAAAATCAACAATAACAACAAAGCTGTAAGCCTAATAAGCTAATAATGGAGAAACAATAGAATTATAAAAAGCAATCACTTAATCCAAGGGAAGCCTGAAAAAAGAGGAAAGGAAATGAAGAACAGACAAGCAGATAAAGGGAAGGAAAATGGGAACTTTTGTAATAGTGTCAACAATTTAAAAAAAAAGACAATACAGATATATTACAAACAACTTACTTAATGCCCATAAATTTGAAAAATTAAGCAAAAGAATAATTTACTAAAAGACATTAACCAAAGTGCACTCAAAAACAAAGATAACATGAATAGTCTTATATCTGTTAAAGAATTTGAACTTACAGTTTTAAAAAATTCCCACAAAGAAAACTCAAGGCCCAGGTAGATTTGCTGGTGAATCTTAGCAGCATTAAGAAAGACATAACGCAAGTTCTACACAAATATTTTCAGAAAAAGAAGGGAACACATCCCAACAATTTTTTCCTTTTTTAAAAAAGATTTCCACCCAAGGATATGTTTATTGATTTTAGATAGAGAAGAAGGGAGAGGGAGAGAGAGAGAGAAATATCCATCGGTTGCCTCCCATAAGCATCCTGACCAGGAAACAAACCCACAACCTAGGTATGTACCCTGACTGGGGATCAAACCCACAACCTTTTGGTGTCGGGACACTGCTCCAACCGAGCCACTGGCCAGGGCCATATCCCAACAATTTCTATAAGGTATTACCAGGTACAAAAACCACGTGAGGCATATAAGAGTTACAAAATAATAAACAGTATCTCTCGTGAACATAGGTGCAGGATAATAAATAACATACGGAGTTTATCCCAGGAATAGAAAGTTGGTTTAACTTTTGAAAATCAATCAATGTAATTTACCGTGTTAACAGACTTAAAAAGAAATTTAGGTATGATCATCTCAATAGATGCAGAAAAAAATACTTACAAAAATTCAACAATCATTCACAATAAAAACTCTTGGCAAACCAGGAATAACAGAGAGAACTTCCTCCTGATAAAGAGCATCTATAAAAAACACACAGCTAACATACTTAATGATGAAAGACTGTCTCCTTTGTCCTCTAAGATGAGAAACAAGGCAAGGATGTTTGCTCTCACTACTTCTTTTCAATGTTGCACTGAAGGTCCTAGTCAGTGAAATAAGGCAAGAAAGAGAGTAAAGAGACACTGAAATTGGAAAGAAAATAACTAAAACAGTCTTTATTCACAGTTGACATGATTGTCTAGGTACAAATCTTAAAAATCTACAAAAAAAAAAGCAAGCTAGTGGAACTAGTTAGTGAGTTTATCAAGGTCGTGAGATAAAGAAATCATATTGCCATATTCCAGCAACCGAAAATTGGAAATTTTTATTTAATTTTTTGATTTAATCTCTATTGTATTTTTTTCCATTACCATTTAGTGCCTTTATACCTCTCACCCCCAGCAGTCACCACACTGTTGCCCATGTTCATGAGTCCTTTTTCCTTTTTGCTCAATCCTTCCACCCCTAAGTTCCCTCCCCCTTTAGCCATCATCCTGATCTCCATCTATGAGTCTGTCTCTATGTTCCTTGTTAGTTCAGTTTGTTCATTAGATTCCACACATGAGTGAAATTATACAGTATTTGTCTTTCTTTGACTGCCTTATTTCACTTAGCATAATGTTCTCCAGGTCTATCCATACTCTGGCAAAGGGTAAAATTTTCTTCTTTTTTTGGCTGAGTAATATTCCATTGTGTAAATGTACCATAGTTCTTTTATCCACTCATCTGCTGATGGACACTCGAGCTGCTTCCATATCTTGGTATTGTAAATAACCTGCAATAAATATAGGGCTGCTTATGTTCTTTCGAATTACTGTTTTAGGTTCTTCCAGATATATTCCCAGAAGTGGGATCACTGGGTCAAAAGGCAGATTCATTTCTAATTTTTTAAGGCATATTCATACTGCTTTCCAAGTGGCTGCACCAGTCTGCATTCCCCCCAACAGTACAAATGGGTTCCTCTTTCTCCACATCCTCACCAGCACTTGTTGTTTGTTGATGTATTAATGATGGCCATTCTGACAGGTGTGAGATGGCATCTCATTGTGATTTTACTTTGCATCTCTCTGATGATAGTGATGTTGACCATCTTTTCATATGCCTATTGGCCATCTGTATGTCCCCTTTGGAGAAGTGCCTATTCAGGTCCTTTGCCCATTTTTTAATTGGGTTGTTTTGTTTTTTTGGTGTTGGGTTTTGAAAGTTCTTTATAAATTTTGGATATTAACTGCTTATCAGATATATTGGGGAATATATTCTCCCATTATGTGGGTTGTTTTTTTTTATTTGTTGATGATTTCCTTTGCTGTACAAAAACTTTTTAGTTTGATATAGTCCTGCTTGTTTATTTTTTCTTTTATTTCCTTTGCCCAAGGAGATATATCACAAAAAAATATTGCAAATTTGAAAAAAATATATAAAAATAAAAACACAAGCCATAGGCAAGAAGAAAACATTTGCAATATATATATATATAATTAAAAAACTTGTATCTAGAATATTTTTTAAACTTTCAAAACTCAAAAAATATAAGAATACAACCTAATTTTAAAGTGGGCAAAGACTCAAACAAACACTCAGTGAAGACATACAGATAGCATGTAAGCACAGTGAGCTAATGACTATCATCATTAGTCATTAGGAAAGTGCAAGCCAAATCTATAATGAGATATTATATTCCCACTAGAATGGCTAAAATGGTCTGCACATATATAGAGAAAATGGAAATGGTACATTCGCTTTGGAAAACAGTTGGCAGCTTTCTTAAAAGTTAATAGTATCTTACAAGTTAAATGGTAGGATATACCATTTGACTTAGCATTTCACTCTTAGGTATTTATCCAAGAGAAATAAAACATATATCCACAGAAAGACTATATATGAATGTTAATAACAGCTTTATTTAAAATAGCCAAAAACCAGAAACAACCCAAATGGCCATCAACCCAAATGTGACTGGATAAATAATTGTGAGATATTTTCACAAAAGAATACTACTCAGCAGTACAAAGGAATGAACTATTGACACCCACAGCAACATGGATGAATCTTGAAATAATGGTGCTAAATGAATAAAACCAGTCAAAAAAGAGAACACACTGTATGATTTCATTTACACAAAATTCCAGAAAATACAAACAAATCTAGAGTGACAGAAAGCAGATCAATGGTTGTCTGGAAAAAAAGGTGGGAGGAAAGAGGGAGAGAAGGATTATTGAGGCACACAAGGAAATCTGGGGGATGATGATGTGTTCTTTTTTTTTATTGTAGTGATAGATTTACAGATGTAGAAGTATGAGGGGGAACCCAAAAAACAGAATTTATTTATTAAAATAATTGTATATTTATTCTTACATGTTTAAACTTTAGTCACCTTCAAAGTACCCTCCATTGGATGCCATAAACCTATCAAGACATGTTTGGCCACTA